GGGGGGGAGGGTGGGGGGAGTGATATAAGGAAAATTTTTCTTTCATTCCTGTTAGAACGTTAAGAAGCTAAAAGAAATGTACTTAAATTATCTAATAGTTTTATATAGATGAAAATAGGAAAGAAATATCGATGAAAAATACATTTATTATAAATTTGAAAACAATTTTTTTATTCCTATCAGTGATTCTATAAATATCCGAATAAAAATTTTAAAAATCCACCTTATAAAAAAAAGTATTTGATAAAAGTATGAAAAGTATTGAAGTATGAATTTTTTTTCGTCGAATATGAATATGAAGCGTTTGTCCTAAAAGAATTAGCCAGAGTGAAAGTGAAAAATGGTTTTTACAATTGGTTGACAAGGCAGTTTTCACTAATTTCAGGTGGTGCGTCGATAGTCCAGTGGCAATATTGTTTCAATTTGTGGGTCCGAAATTGGCCCAGCAGACCTGCATATCCCCTGAAAAGATGTGTGAAACAAAAATAAAAGGAATATAAACAAGCGGATTTTACTTTTTACTGTCTATTTTACTTTATTCATTATATTATTCATTATATTAATCGCGGTAGATCCTGCAATTATAAAATCCAACTTTTCTGCGACCCAAATTTATGAAAATTGTGCAAATATAATTCAAAAATGGTCAATCTGATTTGGACACAAAAAAAAATTAATTTCTTTTCGACAAATTTTTCCCAATTTTTTGTAAAATTTTACAAATTTTATTTCCTTTTTATCATCAATCCAAGAATCCAAGCGGTTGGGTCCTAATATTCTAATATTAATATTTTACATTTTCGTTAAGATCCATTATATTCATTTTCACTTGTTTTTGAGATAGTTGCTTTTGTTGAGATAGTTGAGATAACTTTTTAAGTCATTGAAATTAATTTTTATCAGATATGGTATTGTTTTTTCTTATCAATATATTACTAAAATTTAATCACATAAGTTTGAGGTGTGAAGTGACGAATAAAATTTTTATTAATACGTGCTGTGTGCTGATCTACTGTTATTTCTACTGTTGTCCTGATAAAGCAGCCAGATCAAGGTTTCTCTAAAATAATAACACATGGTAGGCGAGCATCATTCCACTGCTATCATATATTATCCTATTTCATTCATTTTTACATTTTTCATTTAAAAAAAAAACTGGCAAAGAGATTTTTCAGAAAGGTATATTTTAAAACAAATGAAATAGGCTTTCTCGAATCGTTCGCACATGAATTTCTTGAAATATTTTTAAATAATATTATTTTTCACATAAATATTGAACTATTAAATGTTTTAAGATTATAAAATTTAATTAAAACTGGTATCGATATAAATAAATTATAAATATAAATAAATTTAAATAAATATGACAATACGATTCGATTCAATCATTTTTTTTATACGACAATTTTTTATTATATTTCTTTCAAATTTGGTTTATTTCTGAAAATATTTTTTATTAAAATTTCATTATTTAATAAAAAATTTTACTTAAATTTTCTTTATTAGCATTCATTCGAAAAGGAAAATAATAGATTTTTTTTTTGTAAAATGGCCCCTTTTAAATAATTTATTCATTAATTAAACTAATTCCTCGTTATAAATTTCAAGACATTTCATAAATTATTAGAATGCTGCTAATTAGATCAATGCAACTACGATTTTATTTCAAATTTTCAAGTTTAATTTTCTTTCTATATTGCCAGAAATTTTTTTTCATAAAAAATAATCTCGCATTTTGGTAGGCACATAAATCGTTCGACTATAAATCCGAGTGATATTAGCGATCATCCAAACATAATTCATTTTTTGTAACCAACCAAAAATGTAAATATTTAGCATTAACTACTTTTTAAAAAAAAAAAAATTAAAATTGTAGTATTTTTTTCGAATGAACTTTAATCAACTTTTTGCTTCATCTAATATTAAAGATTTTTTTAAAGTACAATTTTTCAATGAATTTATTAAATCATAAATCATAGCAATAATACCTTTTCAGTATTTTTTATAATAAATTTGCTTTCTAAAATGATAATACAACGATGGCATTTTTTTTAATAAATATTTTCAAATATTTTAAAACCATTTTTTTATTTAAATGAAGGAATGAAACATAATTAAAAGATTCCTTTAAATCTTTGAAAAAAATAAAATAAAAATTTTGAAGAACAAATCCTAATCTTCGGATTATTTACAATATCAAAAAAGATTTTTTTTTTTCAGAAATTTTCTTATATTTTTATAAATTGCCATGAATTAATTATTAGAACCAGTTTTTTTCGAAATTCACATCTAACCGATTTTCACCGTATTCATAAATGCGCTATGCTCGAAATCCTTACTTTTTTCCGTCTCATTAATATTTTGTAGTGAACTGATAAAATGATCAACCTGAAAGTATTAAGCTGCTAAGTATTAATGACTATTTGCTACATATGTCTATTTGCTCCAGTTTTCCATACAAATTGACGAGAAATTTTCCAAAGAAGTAATCATTTAAAAAAACAATTAACACTGAACATTCGCGAATAAAAAAATATATTAAAACTAGTATAGACTGCTATAGATTATTTATTTTTAAGAGATAATAGTATAAAAAAAAGTTAACAATTTTTACCCGTCAAGAAAATGACAAAGCATCCATATGAACGTAAATAATATGAAGGTTCCCCATACTGTTGAGCAAAATGGTGCTACTACTGTGGCAACCAGGAAAATGACTAAATATACCAATGAACTAAGACAAGTCTGCAATTATTTTCCAAATTCAATAGTTTTAGTATCAAAAATGGTTCAATTTATTTCATCATTCAGAGAGAATATTTTGTGAATATTTTTATAATATATAAAATATATGATAAATCTAATTTATTGAAACGATCTCACCTATAAAAAATAATTTTAAATTAATAAATTAATAAATTTATAAAATTAAAAAAAATAAATAAATTAATTAAATAAATAAATAAAATAAATAAATTTTAAAAAATAAGTAAATAAACAAATAAATATATTCTAAATAAATTAAATTTAAATAAATAAATAAATAAAAATAAAAAATAATAAAATAATAAAAAAATAATAAATTTTTAAACAACAAAAATACCTGTAAAAAAAATAACATTTCTGTTCGTATTTTCATGCCAAAAAAATTATTTGTTTTTTTCAAATTTCTCTGAAATTCAAAATTTTTAGATTATTTCGACTCATTTTTTTTCGATTACGATTACTATTATTTTGGAAAATTTATTTGGAATAGCATAGCACATTAACGATATTTTCCTTTTTAGTTTATGCATGGACTATAAAAGAAATTAATCGCTTTATTTAAAGAAATAGCAATCTAATTTTATTTGAATTGTCAACAGCAAATTATTAACGATATTATTCATTGCTTCAAACTTAGGAGAGAAATAATAAAAAATAAATAAATATATATTTGAAAAAGAAATTATGCTAAATATTTCTAAAATATAAATATGAATTAAATAACGAACCTTTTTGGCTAACAATTTACGAAATGTCATAATATCGATAGCGACAACAATAATTAATAGAGCGATATGGAAATAGAATTCAAAATCAGCGAAAAATTGCCCACATTCCGACTCGCCATAGCTCCACGTATAAAACGATATATCAAAGACATATGAACATCCTGGATCTGAAAAAAAAAGCTTCAAATATTACCGACAACTCGAATTGCCAAGTTCCTGAACTTTTGAACAAAGTAAAAGCAATGATGCATGGCATATTGAGGAAAATAAACAAAAAAAAAGAGTAATTGAAAACGAAATGAACATTTCTGAAAAAAATCGATCAATTTTTTAAGGAATTTACGCATTAAAGTAACTTACAAAATTGAGAACCCATAAAAAAGCTAATTGTCGATATTATGATAAAGAACACCATAATTTTCGTCCTTTTTTGATCAAAAATGGTTCCATATTTCAGAGGAAGTGCAACAGAATAAAATCTATTAACACTTATAAGAAGATGCAAAAGCAAACTTGAATAATAAATGCCGTTAATCAGTTGGCCAATTCCATTCGCTCCTTTCTCTTTGGTTATTTGCCTATGGACTCAATTATTTTAATGATTTATTCTGCTACAATGAAAGCATTGCCTTCGAGAAAGTATTATTTTATGAAATTGGTAAAAAAATACTTCGAAAAAGGCAATAAAATTGTGAAATTTGTGAAAAAAATTTAAATTGGATTCAATTTTAAATGCAAAGTAAAATGTGAATAAATTAATATATCAGCGAAATTTCCAGTTTGGCCAAACTATACTAATTGCAAATAGTTGAAAAAGGCGATTCAATAGGAAATTTTAAACTGAAAAATATTTTGAGATGGACAAAGGTAAACAATGGGTTGGTGAGTGGGAATAAACCAGACTTCATTGGTGAAATTTATGGCCTATTGTAGCCATTCTCTGCTACCGAGTTGATGAATCGCTACCGAAACGATATCATTTTTATAGTCAGAGAGCTCCTCAATTCAGAACTGCCTGAATACTATGGTAGCAAAAGCAGAATATCGTTGAAAATGTATTCTTTAATTAATTAATTTAAGAAATGATCTGAATAATTCACATGGCAAATTGAATAGTTTTTGTTTTATATATTTATATACATATATATATATTTAATACATTATTTTATAGTTTATATATATTTAATATATTAATATTTAATATTAATATTTAATATTATATTAATATTTAATACATCATGCAAGAATCGATTCAGTTCTGAAAATGGTATTAATAATATAAAAAATGATAAAATTAGTTAAAAAAATGAAATTCTCACAGTGCAATCGCTAGAATATCGTAAATACACATAATAAGCATAAGGCAACAATTTAAACTGCCAATGCTAATACAAAGTACACCAAACGACTTTTTTATAAAACCTGTTTTCCATATAACAGTTATTAAGGCGAGATTTGCTACGATCCCACAAAAGGAACTCTAAAATCACTATTCGCTAAATTTATATATATAAATATATATATATATTAGTAAATTACATTATTATTATTGTATTAGAAAAATCTGTTCCTTGCAAATCAGTATTTTTACGAAAATTCTTCCTAAAAACTATTATTTTAAGGGTCTAAATGAATTCAGAATTATAAAATTTCAAAATAAATTTTAGATAAAAAAATTATAAAAAATATCTTACCAATGCAACAATTCCACATTTGATAAAATCATCATTTATTACCCTTTCCATCATTTTTTTATCCACAGAAAACCTTTCATTTAACGATGATGATCACTGAAATGCGTTGATCGAAAAAATAATGAATGAAGATTATATTAATTAGCTTATTACGCTTGAAGTAATTTCAAAAAAGTATATTTTTGAATTTTTGAAGCATATTTCATCGTTTTTCGATGAGAAGACGTATGATTTTTTTTTTTTTTTTTTTTAAATTACGAACAATAATTAGCATCCGATTGTTACCAATGCATTAAGATAGTAAAAATTACTTTACTTTTTAATTTTCAGAAGAAATGAATGAGGATTGTAAGAAACGCCGTATCGTTTTTTCTTTTGGCTATCATGTTCTTATCAGCTTATCAAATTTAAAACCACATGTTCATACTCAAAACTTATATTTAGGTGGAGAGCATGAATGATATTTTAAAATAGAAAGAACACTATTAAAACTGGCATTTTTTGAAAATGCTCACAATTAAAAAGACTATTATGCCTTAAGCTGTTCCAATGCTATTAATCATTTCCAGTTTGAGCATTCAGAAAAAATACCAAAGAGCAAAGATAAAGAAACCTTTGAAACTGCACTTTTTGGTAGTATTGCAAGCTATATTAAATATTTTAATATGCAATATACAAAGGCTGATCTATTTAAGATGAATAGTCAAAAAAACAAAAGAGCACTATTTTCTTGCTCTAAAATAAATGCTGTAAACTCATGGAAAATTTAATAAATAGATCAGCCTTAGGAAATTTTCGGCCAAAATTTGGATGAAGAGTTGCTGAATTCGGAGCGCCGATGCTGAAATCCGATTAACCGCACGAGTTGTTGTTCAATTGGAAGCACCGACGCTGAGGTTCGATTCCCCTCCAGGGTAAACCTGTATTAAAAAAATCCGGGTATTGCTGGCGACTCATCTGTATTTCTATCGCCAAAGAACTCCCTGGCATATTACCCAATGCGACAAGCCACTGGCCGAGTTATGTTAGCGACTCACCTGTACTTCTATCACCAATGAGTACGCTAGCATATTTGTCCGGTGAGATAAGCCAGCAGAGCGAGTCCAACAGCAATTGCACTTGGTNATATATATATATTTAATACATTATTTTATAGTTTATATATATTTAATATATTAATATTTAATATTAATATTTAATATTATATTAATATTTAATACATCATGCAAGAATCGATTCAGTTCTGAAAATGGTATTAATAATATAAAAAATGATAAAATTAGTTAAAAAAATGAAATTCTCACAGTGCAATCGCTAGAATATCGTAAATACACATAATAAGCATAAGGCAACAATTTAAACTGCCAATGCTAATACAAAGTACACCAAACGACTTTTTTATAAAACCTGTTTTCCATATAACAGTTATTAAGGCGAGATTTGCTACGATCCCACAAAAGGAACTCTAAAATCACTATTCGCTAAATTTATATATATAAATATATATATATATTAGTAAATTACATTATTATTATTGTATTAGAAAAATTATTATTGCATTGTATTAAATTGTATTCCTTGCAAATCAGTATTCTTACGAAAATTCTTCCTAAAAACTATTATTTTAAGGGTCTAAATGAATTCAGAATTATAAAATTTCAAAATAAATTTTAGATAAAAAAATTATAAAAAATATCTTACCAACGCAACAATTCCACATTTGATAAAATCATCATTTATTACCTTTTCCATCATTTTTCTATCCTCAGAAAACCTTTCATTTAACGATGATGATCACTGAAATGCGTTGATCGAAAAAATAATGAATGAAGATTATATTAATTAGCTTATTACGCTTGAAGTAATTTCAAAAAAGTATATTTTTGAATTTTTGAAGCATATTTCATCGTTTTTCGATGAGAAGACGTATGATTTTTTTTTTTTTTTTTTAAATTACGAACAATAATTAGCATCCGATTGTTACCAATGCATTAAGATAGTAAAAATTACTTTACTTTTTAATTTTCAGAAGAAATGAATGAGGATTGTAAGAAACGCCGTATCGTTTTTTCTTTTGGCTATCATGTTCTTATCAGCTTATCAAATTTAAAACCACATGTTCATACTCAAAACTTATATTTAGGTGGAGAGCATGAACGATATTTTAAAATAGAAAGAACACTATTAAAACTGGCATTTTTTGAAAATGCTCACAATTAAAAAAGACTATTATGCCTTAAGCTGTTCCAATGCTATTAATCATTTCCAGTTTGAGCATTCAGAAAAAATACCAAAGAGCAAAGATAAGGAAACCTTTGATACTGCACTTTTTGGTAGGATTGCAAGCTATATTAAATATTTTAATATGCAATATACAAAATATTGCAATAATATGCAATATACAAAGGCTGATCTATTTAAGATGAATAGTCAAAAAAATAAAAGAGCACTATTTTCTTGCTCTAAAATAAATGCTGTAAACTCATGGAAAATTTAATAAATAGATCAGCCTTAGGAAATTTTCGGCCAAAATTTGGATGAAGAGTTGCTGAATTCGGAGCGCCGATGCTGAAATCCGATTAACCGCACGAGTTGTTGTTCAATTGGAAGCACCGACGCTGAGGTTCGATTCCCCTCCAGGGTAAACCTGTATTATAAAAATCCGGGTATTGCTGGCGACTCATCTGTATTTCTATCGCCAAAGAACTCCCTGGCATATTACCCAATGCGACAAGCCACTGGCCGAGTTATGTTAGCGACTCACCTGTACTTCTATCACCAATGAGTACGCTAGCATATTTGTCCGGTGAGATAAGCCAGCAGAGCGAGTCCAACAGCAATTGCACTTGGTACATAGATAAAGAAATTTATTATTTATTATTTTAATTGTAAAATTATTGCTCATTATTTATAAACCTTAATAATAAATTTATTATTTTACTTCTCAAAATATTTAACAAATTAATATTAATCAATATAATTAATATTTTGATTACTTTCGGTTTGATTAAGCGATGTGAAATAATAATAAACAATAATACTTTTATTGAAAAATCATCTAAAAATTAAGTTCTTTTTTTTAGGAGATGGTTTTTATACTAAATTAATGGTTTTAATATGATTAATGGTTTTTGTTATTTTAGTTTTTTAGGAGAGTACTCATTATTACTGACTCGTCATTACTGACTCATTCTGCTGACTTACCGGTAAGTAAATATACTAGGCAGTCGCTTAGTGAAGAAATGCAGGTGAATGCTATCATCCGGATTTTTGAACAGGTTTACTCCTGGCGAAACTATAGCATTAGCATTGGCGCTCCAAAAACAGCAATTAAACAATCCACTGGGGCACTCTAATTTCCTTTGTTAGTTAAATAGCCTGATCAGAGTGTCGAAATGATTGAATCCAAATTCCTAAGGAAACTCTGCTCATTACTTAGCTGAATAGCACAGAACATTGGAGATAGAAGTACTTCAAAATAGGCATCTAAAGCTTCTCTCTTTTAATACGATTGGAAACCTTAACGAAGTTAAATTAAAAATATCGCCACATAGATAATTTTTTTAGAGAATTAAAAATTATTATAGGAATTATAGGAAACAACAAAATAATTGTTTTTTTATAAATAAAACTATAGAGAAAAGTTTCAAGTGTGACTTCAAGTTAGACCATTGGAATGAAA